CGAAATATGAAATGAAGATGGCACTAACTACTAAAGAGTTAATAGCTTTGTTAGAAGAAGACTCAGATTGTGAAAATGCCACTTAATGTGGTTTATTTGCCGCCGAGATTAGATTAGAAAGTTTCTGATGTAGAAGACATTGATCTTCTTCTTCCTTCTAGTTTGTAGGCTTTAAAGCCTGTTTCTTCTTCAATATTAGCTTCCTAAATTGTTTAAATTGTCGCAACATCTTTTTCTTGGTCTGCCAATACTTCTTCGTCCATTTGGTGACTTATCTCGTGCTATTCGTACTATTCTATCCTCCGCCATTCTACTGATGTGTTTGTTCCACTTTTGTTTTCGTTTTGTCACCCATCCATTTATGTCTTCTATATTGCATGCTCTTCTTATGTTTTTGCTTCTCTCCCTATCCAACAGACTTCTTGATATTCGTCGAAGTATTTTCATCTCTGTTCTTTCTAGCAGTCGTCTCGTTTTAGATGTGTCAGGTCTTGTCTCAGCCGTGTATATAGGTCTAATTCCTGCTTTATAGATTCTTGTTTTTGTGTCTTGTCTTAGGTGTTTGTTCTTCCAGATTGTGTCATTAAGAGAACCCGCCGCTTTACCTTCTTTTAAGCTTTGCTGTCGTACTTCTCCTTCAACATATCCGTAACTAGTTATATCTATTCCCAGATATCTAACCCTTGCTTCCGGCTTTATTATTTTCCCATCAATTTCGATTTTACACCGTAGTGGGTATTTAAATGTCATACATTTGTATTTTTTCCGCTGATATTATCATATTGTATTTCTTAGCTGTTGTATTGAAGATATGTGTTAATCTTTAGAGCTCATCTTCTGTCTCGGCGATTAATGCGGCGTCGTCTGCATACATAATATTTGGATTTCTTTGTTCCCAATTCTGTAGCCATGACTTTTACGTACTACTTGTATTATTTCGTCCATTAATATATTAAAGAGAAGTGGGCTTAACGAGTCACCCTGTCTCCGCTTTGTACCGGTATACACTGTATTAGTTTTCCATTTATCTTTGCTTGTATTGGATTATGGAGGTAGATGCTTTCGATGGTTTGTATAATATTGATTGGTATGTTCCTTTTATACAGTAGGTGTAAGACGTCTGCGACTTGGATGCGATCGAAAGCCTTTGTCAGGTCTATAAAACATAGATATGATGGCCTTTTCTGTGATTTGTCTTAGTACAAATACGGCGTCTACGCAGGATCATCCGGATCTGAATCCTTGTTGTTCATCTGATAAAGTTGTTAGTTTATTGATTTTGTTGGTTAGGACTTTTGTGGTAAGCTTAAGTGCGGTGTTCAGTAGATTTATACCTCTATAAATGTTGGGGTCTTCTTTATCTCCTTTCTTGACCATTGGTATCATTATGCTGTTTCTCCATGCGTCTGGTATCTTGCAGTGCAATATTAGTTTTTGTATAAGTTTTGTCATCTCTAGGCTTAAACTTTCTCATCCGTTTTTTAGAAGCTCGTTGGTTATTCCGTCTGGTCCTGGTGACTTTCTATTTTTGAGTGAATTTATGACTATTTCTACTTCGTGAAAACTGATTTCTATTTCGTCTCTTAGTTCAGGTACGTTATTGTGTTGATTATTATTTTCCTTTGCTTTAAACAGTTCCATCAGGTATCTTTCCCATTCGTTTGCTGGTATGTTATTGTATTCCTTGAAGATATTGATGATAATATTATTTGTGAAGAATCAATAAAATCGGATATTGCAGGTACATATGAAATACAAGTGATTGGGAATTCTAACGATTCTAATTATGATATTCCTCTGAACCACAGATAAAACGTCCAAAGAAAAAACCAATAAGTAAAAATAAGGCAAAAATAGTAAATCCAAATTTATCTCAAGTTATAATAACGGATATTCTTTCGTGCTCAGTAGTAATTCAACATCAGTCTGATTGGTATTTAGACAATATAAAAGCCAACCATGTAGGCAAGTCATATATTGAAGTTTTTTCACTCTTTTTGATAAAAAAGTAATTGAGAATAACCGTCACAATTTTGAAATGAATAACATAGATTTAAAAAAATTATTAACATATGTATATTATCTGGTTTACACTCTGCTTCAAGTTGATATGCATTGGTCAAAGGATGAGGATAAAGAAGTGCATACTATAAGAGAAATCATGAGCCGACATAGATTTATAATTTTAATTTATAATAGTGAAGAAACCGCTACATCAGTGTCAGTACATGGGCGTCAATGTAAATTTGCTTTACCAGATTCGACAATATTGGCCACATTATAAAAAGAGACGATAGTGCAAAAATGTAGGATGTACAAAAGTAATACTATTTATTTATCTAAAAAGTGTAGAATGCATCTACATTCCGAATATTTCGAAAATTTTTACCTTAAAATTTAATTTACGTTTAAGATATAATATGTTCCTTTATTAAAAATTGTACTGTTTTCCTTAAAAATGAGAAAAAAAAATCTTTCTGGTTGTAATTTATTCCTAATTTGTGTTTTTAATCCAATCTAATAAATTAATTGTCAAATTTCTCTTTGTATATTGAGCGGCCGTTAAGGGTTTAATACTATATAAAGAATAAACTGGCCTTAAATTTACTTTACTTACCTCAAAACTATTTTAAAGTTAATAATAAAGTATATTTAATAAATATATTCCCAATAATACACTACGCCTATGTACATTGTATAAAATCTGGAAGATATATATTTCATAAACTTCAATAAGCTAAGATATCATATTTCTCTAATAAACATTCTTTCTAAAAACGTAAATATATATAGACCAGCAAAATATTGATAATTTTACCGATGTTCCAAACTATTCTATGAACTTGTCTCACTATACACTCGTGAATCGCACCAATTTATACTGTTACGGGGGCAAATTTATCTTAGATGAGTTACAAATTGACATATTTACATGGGCGAAGCATACAGAATAAAAATGACCCCGGTAAGAATTTACTAATGAAATTTTTCATGGTTGCCGCTACCGTTTAGTTCGATTTGTAGATTAGTCACCTTTAATTGAAAATTGTCCGACTATAGTATAAATAATATCAAAGAAATAATTGATACTAATCTTCAAAAAGTGTCTTCTAATGGAATAGAAGCTAAAATATGAATAAAATAAAGTTTTTTGAAAAGTTCGGCTCAAAAATCGCCAATTCACGTTGACGTTTCGTGAACGTCATCGTTTGATACCTTTCACTGTTGACTGTTACACCATGTTCATGATATAAGGAAACATGGTATGCTCACGCGCATCTATTTTGAACAGCCAATCACGTTTACGACCAAAATCCGCCATTTTGAAGGCGGCAATTCAAATATGTACAAAATTGATACGAAATATCGTAGTTAAATAAAATAAAATTAATATTATACATTAATCCAATTAATTCATATTTAAAATGATCTGAACAGACTCTTGCTAAAATAATTTTTAAAAAATCGAAACAAAACAAAAACACATTTACATTTAAATTCCAGTACATTGCAAAGTAAGGTTAAAAAATGCAAAAGTAAACAAAGCAGACGTCACGCATGTAGAGGTGGTTGATCCAAGTATTTTTGTGGATCAGGTCAGGTATGCTCACTTACACTTACTATGAGTACAGTACCCGTACCATGGACGTATAAATAAAGATTTTTATTTATACGGCCATGACCAGTACTCGTTTTTTATAATATATTGGTGTTAGGGATCAGTTCCACAAGTATAAATAAAATACATGTTCCAAAGTAACTGGTACGGGATCAGGTCACCATCCCTACACACATGTGACATATTGAAAAGATGGTGGATTTTGGTCGGCGCAGAAATGTGCAAAAACGGGTCCACTAGTGAGCATACCTTGTTTCCTTATATCATGACCATGTTCGAAAAAATAAGGTTTGATAATGTCACCATGCATAAACCACACCAGATGGTGACTTTTTCTGGATGAGCTTCTCAAGAATCTGATGTGGATAATTTTCAATCAAAAAACGATAATTTTGCTTATTCACAAAGTCGTTTAACCAAAAATGAGCATCATCGGAAATTTGTTTGAAAAAATCGCCGTCATTTTCGAGTTTGTCTAGTGCCCAATCAGCGAACAAACGACGCTTATGATGGTCAAGTGACTTCAATTCTTGAGTCAGAACAATCTTGTAAGGGTGTAGGCCTAAATATTTTCTCAGAATTCGCCAAGTTGTCATTCTGGTGAGTCCAAGTTCTTGAGACAATGCAAATGTGTCACACACATTTGTGTGGGACACATTTGCATTCTCCGCTACACTGGCTCTTACAGCAGCAATATTGTCCTGAGTTCTTGCATTTCGGCGTCTAGTTGGTGGTTTCGTATCGTGCAGAGTAAATTCACGTTCAAACTTTTCCACGATTCGATGAATTACACGCACATCAGGACGATGATTTGGTCCATAACTTTCACGTAATGCACGATAAGTATTCACAAAAGAACGATTATTAGCATAAAATTTTAGGATCATTTCCAAACGTTGTTCAAGCATATATCTTGCCATGGTAATTTGTTAGAGTATACTTAATACAAACGTCAACAAGTGACAGTTCTACCATTTTCAAAATGGCCACTACGACATTTCAAAAACAGGACGTCCCTATTGGGAAACCCATTACAAAAGGGTGTTAGACAGGCATAGAATCATAAAAGAGTGAAAGATCAAAAATGATTATCAAGTTCGATTCAAAAGGTGGAATTTGTGCGTGACAATCGACTTGGACGATTTTTGATACATCGCTCTCCTGTTAGATCATATTCCGGTGATTATATGAGTGTTGTCGTGATTGTAAATTAATCTACGATTAATTTCGTGAAGGTCGTCAAAAATGGGATGTTGTGCCAACAAAAGTAGATGTTATGCATAATCTACTATTGAATGATCGTCGTGTAAAAATTTAATGAAGGTAGGCCATTTATTTCACCTAAATACATTAAAAAATGAATGCAAAAATAAAAAAAAACAAGATTATATTAAAATTTATTGAAAAACAAATACAAAACAGAGAAATAAACCAATAATTCATATTTTATCAAATATATTTTAACAATAACAATGGAATTAAAATACTACGCCCTTTTATCAAAAACTATATCGTACACTTGATCAAAAGTACCGACAAAATGTACTTCTAAACCTTCCGTTATAAAAGCCGGTAAATCGTTAAAGTCTTTTTTGTTTTCCTCTGGAAGAATGATGCACTTAACACCCGATCTCTTAGCCTGAAAAAGAAAATATTTCATTTTCTCTGTGTACAATATAAAAATAAAATTTCGCGAGAATTAATACATATTGTAGTACGGCAACACTGTAGCGCCAATGAATATAGATGTTTCCTTTGTTGGTTTTATCATGAGTGACGGAAATCCACAAAGCACTGTTGCCAGAGTTAACAAAATATGACAACTTCCAAGAATTGAATACTAACGGTTTTTTTTTTAATTCTAATAAAATAAGTACCTATAAATTAAAACTTGGTTATAGCGTCATTGAAGGGTCCAGTAAAAAAATGACGTAATATCAGAATGACTGTATAAAAGAGGTAGAAAAAAATGAAATTTTAACGAGGCAAAATTTTAATACAGCATTAGTTATTACACTACATTTAGGATAAAAAAAGAAATAAAACATATCATGTATATGAAACTTACATATTTTATGAAAAAGTTCTCTAATACTGAAAAAAGTCAGTTAGTTTCATCTGCACAACCCTTTCCCAAAAATGACGTTTTTCTGTAGTGTCCTTAATAATCTGAGCTGCTTATTTCGTCGTTGTGGATGCCTTCCTGAACTAGTAACACCTGGATACGGTCTCAGCAGCTTTCATTGCTTCTTGGATTGAAGGACAATTAAGGCCGCCTTCTTCTTCTTCATTATCTTCATTAACATCCATTTCCACATTTGGCACTTGTTCCACAATTTATTTATCACTTAAAACTTGAAATGTTTCTACCTGATCGTCTACTGAAATGTAGGAGTCAAGATCAGTTCCAAACTCTCTGGTTTACATTAAATTTTTGTATCCACTCTGACAAAGGTATTTCGTCGACATCCTGAACATTGGGAGAAGCTACAGTCAATTTAGCTTGAAGAAAGCACTTACAAATTGCCACTGATGTAACCGCACTCCACACATTGTGAAAAAACTGAACTGCATCAAGGATAGTAATGTTCACGGTTCACAATGCCCCCATTGTCCATAAAAAAAATCATCCTTTTCAAAAGCTGTTTCCGGTAATGGCACTTTAAACTTCTTATTACTCCTTGGTGCACAGGCTGCAAGACACTCGAAGAAAACTAGGTTGATATTGGTCAAATTAAGCTTGGGATGTTGGAAGCACAGTTGTCAACTAAGAGAAGAACTTTCCTTTTTTTTGAAGAGAGTTCCTTGTTTCACTTTCTCAATTTTTAAGTCATCCACGCTTTTTTGTTGACTGTGTAGGTTACAGGCAGTGTTTTTATGCTTTTTGAAACATCTAGGATGTAAACTTTTACCAATAATCAAAAGCTTTCTTTTCTGTACCTGTCATGTTTGGACAAACAAAAGCCGTGACTCTTTGTTTAGAAAGCTTTCCACCGATACATTTTTGATTTTTGAAATTTAAAGTTTTATCTGGCGTTAATTTGTAAAAGACACCAGTGGTATCGCCGTTGAAGATATCTTCATCCTTGTACGGTTGCATTATTTGTAGCCATGTGTTTTGTAACCAATCACCTGTCACGTTCTCGTTCAGACATTTTGCCTCTCCAAGAATTTTCGCGAAGGATATTGAGTGGCGGGCTGTAAACGATCTAGCCAGCCGTTAGAGCATGTGAAATCTTCATCAAATCGGTTTCCGAACTCTGTAGCTTTCTCCTTTAAAAGTGGCCCGGACACAGGAATATCAGAACTGCGACACTGCTTGAACCATTTGAGTAGAGCTGAATCTACATCACCACGAATGCACTTCCTAATCTTTTTAACATTTTCTCGTCTAAATCGTTTTTAAGATTGAGCCGACAGTCGAATTAACAAGTCCAATATTGTTCTGAAGCTATTTTCTTGTGGCATTTTAAACTAATTACTATTTAACTGGGAATAAGCCACAATTAAAGATAAAAATACGTTTATTGTGAAATCAACTTTAACTTGAGGATATCCGTCAGAAAAAATCATAGCATATAATTCGTCTTTAAAAAGACAAACACATTACATGATGACAGTAAAATTCTCCTGTTAGTGATTCCATAGTAAATTATGAGGGAAAAAAACCTCATAATACTATCCCGACATGGTTCGTGCATTTAGTTTACCTTCAATAAACACCAAAATTCTAATGAACATGGGATTAACTAATTATTAATTATTAATTCATTAACCGCATGGGATAATGAACATAGGGTTCAATGGAATAATTCAAATGTAGTCCTAAAAGAGACGGATGGTAAAAAAAGAAAAATCAAAGAAGCGGCTTTAATTATGCTAAATGAGGCCAATTGTGTCGCAAATTCCTCGGCAGAATGTAGTAGGATCTGGTTACCAATATTGAAAGAGGAAGTTATTAATAAGAAAATACCAGTATTAGTATGTCAGTAACATATAGAGGATACATCATTTATGTTTTTTAAATAACGAAACATATAAAATCAGAATTTTGGTGTTTATTGGAGGTAAACTAAATGCACGAACAAATACTTAACATGTCGGGATAGTATTATGAGGTTTTTTTCCTGGTTTTTCCCTCATAATTTACTATGGAATCACTAACAGGAGAATTTTACTGTCATCATGTCATGTGTTTGTCTTTTTAAAGACGAATTATATGCTATGATTTTTTCTGACGGATATTCTCAAGTTGAAGTTGATTTCATGTAATCGAATGAACTATCTTATAAGTAAAGTCGTCCAGGAGCGCAACTCAACAATATTGGCAATATCATTTTAAAGTCGTCTACTTTAAAATGCATAATGTATGTCTGAATTGTCAATATAAATGAATCAGATAAAATTAAATTATTAGAAGAATTTTTCACTATGTAACAAAAAACAAAATTTGTTTAATTTACTGTTTGTATTTTGAGAACGATTTCCGAAGTGGAAATTGAAACATCAATAAACGTATTTTTATCTTTAATTGTGGCTTATTCCCAGTTAAATAGTAATTAACAAGTCCAAGTTGCCGAAAATTTTTCGACCACTTTCAAATGGTCTTATAAGACGCATTTTATCTTTAGTAGGCAAAGCCTTCCTTTTGGTACTACAACTTGCCATATTAAAAAATTAAAAGTTAATTACTAAGTTAAAATCTAAAAGCAAAACGAGCCCAACACAATTTCACGGTAGCGGAAATTTCTTAAACTGACTGAAACAGAAAATTTGACTGTTAGGATGGCACTGATAAATGAGAAATAATAGAACTGTCAAGGTCACATAACTGTACACAAAAGGGATAGTAGGGCTTTCTCACATTATTGGAAGGAACAATGCCACAAAGCCGGAAACGCGTTGCACTTTATTTTTCATAAAATAAAAAACGGCGACCTACTGTAAAATTTTATAACGCTATAGACGAGGCTTACTTTATCTTTAACCGATAAAACCGGGTTTTTAATAATTTTATCGAATAGTTTTTGGCAGGACCTATTAAAAATTACGTTACAACCGAGATGAAGTAACGACCGAGTCCGTAATATTAAAGTTCCACAGTGTAATTTATTGAAACAACTAATCTTAAACGTAACTTTGGATTATGATTATAAAATAAATAAAAATAACACAAAATATGATTCGATTAAGGCTGTTTTAGCAGTCATAACACACTGCGATTTGAAATGGGCGTATCACTTACTTTTCCTCACTGCTTACGCCAGCCGACGACGGGTACAGCTGTTTTCGCAGTGGCGCCGGCCGGCGGGTGGTTTAATGACAACAAATGCATTATTCTCCATTCAAATTACTTTTGTAGGGAATACCTTTTTTGTTTGATTATCGTAGATGTTTTAAAAACAATTATCACATTTTTAATTTATATGTCTTAGCTAAATATAGTATTGAATATAAATTTCTGAAACGTGACTGCAAAAAATATCATGGTGTTTATTTATAATAAATTTAAAATAACATAAAAATATTATTATCAAAAAAAAAAAAAATACAATTTGTTGTCACAAACAAACAATTTCGCAGTTATAGCTTGAAATTGATTTCAAATCAAACTATCTGACGGTACGTTCATGAGATTTGACGTCACGCAGCCGATAACGGTGAAACTAAATGCCAATGATAAGTAACACGTTTCACTATTAGATTTCAGTATTTTTTAGTAATTTTCTTCAAAGTTTGAACACGCTTTTCTCGATTATTACTGGACATAAAAAGGTGAAAAAAAAATCAACGATTACAGTAAAAAAAACTCTTTCAATTGATGGGCGTAAGAAGTTTGGTTATAATAGAACGTTAAACTGTATAATCCGATATTTCAAAAGGACTTTCAAAAAAATTAAAAAAGTAAAACCATCAGTTTAAAGGCAACATCATTTTGAATAACGTGTCCAAATTTCGAGATATTTTGTCGGTAAATAACAGAGAAAACACTGTATCTAGGTTTTGGTGTACCGATAAAACAGCCTTAATTAAAAGCATTGAAAACCACTTACAGCTATTGTTTTTTCCTTTATTCCACCAACGGGCAAAACTTTTCCCATCAGAGATATTTCGCCCGTCATCGCAACGTCTTGCCTAATTGGCTGTCCTTTAGCTAGCGACAATAACGCCGTAACTATCGTACATCCCGCACTGGGACCGTCCTTCGGCGTAGCTCCTTCGGGAACGTGTAAATGGAGATGGCTATAACAAATAGAAAAACACATAACAGTTCAAATTTAACGAAAGGACCTCATTGTAGTTAATTTAAATAAAGAAAAGGACTTAACTGTCAACACTGACGTCATTTGTTAACTGTCGTAAGTCATTCAACGTGTCAACTGCCATATGCCATGTGTCAAGATATTAATCTTTTACTTACTTTTTTTGCAAAAATTGATTGCTGGGATCGTTCCTTAATAGAAAATTGCGTGCCACCGTCATCGCAATCTTGGCAGACTCTTTCATAACGTCCCCTAAATGTCCAGTTAATTCTAATGTACCATCTGTATCTTTTTCGGTAGACTGTTTCCTCGTTGTTGTTTCTATATACAAAGTGGAGCCGCCTGAAATATTAGAACATTGGTTAAAAATAATTGCTGCTTGTCCAGCGATCATATAAAAGTCTAAGAATGATTTTTACGTAAACGACTGAGAAAATACTTCTTGGAAATATCTGCTTACCCATTGCTGTCCAGGCTAAACCCATGACGACACCAGGAGGGGTTACCGGGTACATTCTATCTTGGGTAAATACTGGTTTTCCAACGAATTCTTGAAGGTTTGAGTGGTCGACCTTCACAAAAGCCGATTCTTCTTTCACAACTTTATAAGCTACTTTCCTAACGACCTAAAATTGATCAATAACAACGAAAAATGAAAAAAAAATCACATAGTGTCGCATCTGTCGAATAAATTGGATATCTTGACATAATAATACTAATTTTACCTTTTCAATATGTTTCTGCAAATTTCTGACACCGCTTTCTCGACAATAACTTTTGATGAGCGAAGTAAGCGCCCCATCTTCCACTTTGATGGTCTCATCTTTAAGTCCACTATCTCTCATAGCTTGGGGCAGTAAATATTGTTTGGCTATGGCTAGTTTTTCCTCTGCTACGTATCCGGACATATCAATCATTTCCATTCTGTCTCTAAGCGGTTCGGGAATCGTTTCCACTATATTAGCAGTACAAATAAATAATACTTTCGACAGATCGACCGGTACGTCCAAGTAATGGTCTAGGAAATTCGCGTTTTGTTCCGGATCAAGCAGTTCTAAGAGTGCTGAACTTGGATCGCCCGAATAACCCCTAAAGTAAAGAATAAACGATTAAATCATTATTTCTAGTCATTTAAGCTGTAAAAGGGCGCAATTTTTAATATAAATCCTTGAAAACGGAAGTGAGGACAATCGATAGGGCTTAAATTATAATTTAATTTAATGTAATTTAAAGCGCTACAAATGTGCAAAGTATGATACAAATCGCTTAAAATGCACAGTTTATAATTAGCAAGGCTTGAACAGAACCAACTTATAACTGGAATCACTAAAGAGGCAAAATTATACCCTACATCACGCAGAAATGGGTAATTTAGACTTTCACCTAAAAGAAGAAACTTACAAACCAATTAGATTCAAATTTTTACAAACATTTAAATAAAAATTTAAATCATTTACAAACAGGCAATTCATCATCGAGAAGATGCAACTTATACTTAAAGTTACAAAGTGGGTAAAAAAATGTGAGAATTATGCTTTTAAATTACTCAAATACGAAATTTACAATTTAAATCACTCAAAATACGAAATTTACAAATTAAATCACTCAAAAATGTAAAATTTATAATTTAAATAGCTAAAAAACTCAAATTATAAGTTAAATTGCTAAAAAATTCAAACCGTATAATTTATATAGGGAATAAAGCGTAATTTAAAACTTAAATCAGTGAAATCGCAAATCTTATAATTCATATCAAAAATATGCAAAAAATCGCTAAACTCATATAAATTTTAATTTAAATGGCTCAAAAATGTGAAATTTACAATTTAATCCGCTAAAAAATCAAATTATAATTTAAATCACTCAAAAAAGCAAACTTTATAATTTAAGAAGGGGGGTAAAAGCGTAAATTCAAATTTAAATAGCCAAAAACGTACAAATTTAAATTTACACCCTTTACTTTTTTACTTTAAAAAACTTATCTTTGTATCAAGAATGTGCAAAAATCGCTAAAATCGTGCGTATTATAATTTAAATCGCTCAAAAATACAGAATTCACAATTTAAATCCGCTAAAAAAACTTAAATTATAATTTATATCGCTCAAAGATGCAAACTATTTAATTTATATAAGGAATAAACGCGTAAATTAAAATTTAAATTATTAAAAACATGCATATTTTAATATACAACATTTACAAATGCGAATCTTATTGTTCATACCATCAAAAATGTATGAAAATCGCTAAAAACGAGCGTATTATAATTAAATAATCGAGTTATTCTAGATGTAGTATGTAGATTCTACATTCATCACCACAATCATTCTTTTAACGATTAATTTAAAATTCTTCACATTCAAAATAAAGGCCTTAAGCTATCCTTGTTAGAATCTATGGAAATCAACAAATTAAAAAACACAGATATAATTCTGAATAACCAACTTGAGACAAACAGTTCTCCCCTCCTCAACCTATTTCATTAGAGACTATAAAGTGTAAACCCATGCCAAAAATCATGGACGTATAAACACAGATGGACTCAGTTATTTACATAAAATTGTGTAGTCAAAATTATTTGAATAGGTCACATTCTCAGCACCTTCAACTGTTGTCACGTTTTGTTTTAAAATTTTTTATTCGCGAGTCGCTGAAAATATTACTCCGTATTTTATACTCTACAGGTGCTATCAAACCAAAATAATAATTTATTGGTTAGATTAATATATTTAATTGTAATCAAAATATAAAGTGTGGACATAGTGTGCATTATCATTTAATAATAGCGTATAATAGATATCAATCAATTATTTTATATGTAGAAGCACTGAAAATTATTTATAAATGGCAACGGTTGTTTACATTTCTCTGTCTTATGGATCTACGTCAAACTTCAAATGCTGTTCCATGTTTGTTTACTTTTTAGTAAAAGTTGTTTTTTCGATATTTTGGCTTATTTTGAGTGATATTTGTGAAAAGTGAAATAAAATAAACGAAATATTTACATCCCGATCTCTCATTTCATTTGTAAGTACATACAATTTACATTATTTAAGATGAGGAAATGAGGAAGCGTGTTTGTTTACATTTTAATAGGCGTACCATTGGGTTTATTCATGTTCATTAATGTATTGAATAAGATACAAGTTCATGAAATTAGTAGACATTTTTAAATTATAAGTAGACATCATCTGATTAAAAAAGAACTGTTTATTACCTTTTTAATTTAATATTTCTCATGGATGCAAATAAATCAGTGATAATATTTTTCTATGTAGGTTTCCAAATAATATTGACGATCGAACTATTTTGGTAGCAAATTTAGAAGAAAACATAAAGATTTTTTATTGTAGCATTATTTTGATACCTATTAAAAATTAACTTGAATTCAACTATATTTTATTGTATTAATTTTAAAGCAAATAAAATTGTATTTTAATTTTTCTATAAAGACGTGATTTGTTAATAGTTAAACTATCGTTTTTTTAAATTCTTTGAACGTGTTTTTATACATTATTACTACTTCCAATTTTTAAAATCTGAATAATTACCCGCGAGTAAAAATTCAAGCACGCTTATGCTCATTGCGGAAGCATCACATTCTATCGAAGCTTCAAAACATTGTGTGTTAAAGGTATCTTATTGCTGTGTCCATCTATGTTTATACGTCCATGCCAAAAATAGATCACTTGAGAAAGGCAATCAGCCGAAACAGCTGTAGTGATAAGAGTTAAAATAAAATTGTGGAAGTTTTAAAACAAAGTTTTCAGTGTTTTACTGTTACATGAATCGCTAAAATCATACAAATTTTAATTTACACCGTTTAAAAATACAAATCTTATCAATCGTATCATAAAAAATGTGCCAAAACTCGTCAAAAACATGCGTATTATTATTTAAATCGATCAAAAATGCATACTTTATAATTTATATACGGGATAAACGAGTAAATTAAAATTTATATCGTTAAAAACATCCAAATTTCAATTTACACCATTTACAAATACGAATCTTATCGGTAATATAAAAAATATACAAAAATCGCTAAAAACGCATATATTATAATGTCAATCGCTCTAAAATGCAAACTTTATAAGTTATATAAGGATATAAAAGCGTAAATTAAAATTTAAATCAATTAAAATATGCAAATTTTAATTTATACGGTTTAAAAATATGAATCTTATAATTCACATCTTTAAAAATGTGCTAATAATGGCTAAAAACGTTCGTATTGTAATTTAAATCTCACAAAAATGCAAAATTTACGGTTCATTTTGCTAAAAAACTAAAATTATAATTTAAATCATTGAAAAATGCAAACTATATAATTTATATAGGGGATAAAAGCGTAAATTTAAATCGTTAAAAACATGCAAATTTTTATTTACACCATTTACAAATACGAATCTTATCATCCATATCATCAAAAATGTGCAAAAATCGCTAAAAACGCGTATGTTATAATGCAAATCGCTCAGAAATGCAAACTTTATAAGTTATAGGGAATAAAAGCGTAAATTAAAATTTAAATCGCTTAAAATATCAAAATTTTAATTTACAGGATTTAAAAATACGACTCTTATCATTCCTATCATTAAAAATGTGCTAATAATGGCTAAAAATGTGCGTATTATAATTTAAATCACACAAAATGCGTAATTTGGAATTCATATAGGGGATAATAGCGTAAATTCAAATTGAAATCGTTGAAAACATACCAATTTTAAAATATACTGTATAACAATACGAATATTATCATTTAAATCGTCAAAAATATGCAAAAAATCGCTAAAATCTTAGGTATTATAATTTAAATCGCTCAACAATGTCACATTTACAATTTAATTTGATAAAACAATCAAATCATCATTTAAATTGTACAATAAATGCAAACTTTATAATTTATATAGATGATAAATTCGTAACTTAACATTTAAACTGCTGAAATCACTAAAATTATGATATACACTGTTTAAAAATATGAATCTTTAATATGTATCAATAAAAATCGCTTAAAACGTGCTTATTATAATTTAAATCGATCAAAAATGCGAAATTTATAACATGTATTGTCAATAAAGCAAAAAATTTAAATGTCAAAAGGAGCTAAATCACAACTTACTTTCCTATTTTGTCAACTTCATCGATAAGTACTAAAGGATTTTCGGTCCGGGTCTTTTTAAGGCACTGTATTACTTTTCCCGGCATCGCACCCACGTAAGTTCTTCTGTGGCCTTTAATTTCCGCTACATCAGTCATACCGCCTACAGAAAATCTAAAATACTCTCTATTTAAAGCTCTGGCGATGGAACGAGCTGAAAAATAAATAATATAAAAGATAATAACTGGTCTGGAGGTATTTTTATTTACTAAACAAGTATTTCTAGCAGTGATTTACCTATACTAGTCTTTCCAACACCAGGAGGTCCATGGAAACACAGTATTTTTCCTTGTGTGCTACCTTTTAGTTGACTAACTGCTATAAATTCTAAAATACGCCTTTTAATATCTTCCATTCCATAATGGTCTTGATCTAAAATCTCGGAAGCTCTTTTGAGATTCAAGTTTTCTTCACTGTGTACTCCCCAAGGCAGTGACGTTAACCAATCTAAGTAGTTTCGTGTCACACTAAAATATAACACATCTACATTGAATAAAATGTCTTTTGTTGTGTCTTATTTCAAAATTATGGCAGAGATCCATCAAATATAGGAAATACTTACTTAAACTCAGAGCTATGGCTTTCTAAAAAGTTTAATTTTGTTAATTCTTCATCTATAACTGCTGAAACGGCTTGTGGTAGTACTTTATCTTTAATTCGCTCCCGAAATTTCTCACCAATAGCATCTTTATCATCTTTTTCTAATCCTAATTCCTTTTTTATTACCTAATAAAGTAAAAAATGTATTTATTTACAAATTAATACTTTGAAAACTAAAAAAGTTTACTGATGAAAAAGGAAATAAGGATGAAAATAATGAAACAAAATAGAAATAAGCTGATTTTTTTATGAGCTAAATGAAATAATGCCAAGGTAAAATAAAATTAGAAACCTCAGAAGAATGGAAAAGAAGTTATGGTTAGATATACAGCAGGTAGGTACCAAATTATGTCATATATTACCTTGAGCTGCTCTTGTAAAATGTACTTTCTGTGATGTTTTTTAACTTTTTCTTCCACTTCTCTTCCAATTTTTTGCTGCAATTTTGACAATTCATATTCTTTCTTCAGTAAGGACAGTGACAACATCAGTCGCTTGGGAATCTGCAATTAGAAATGTTTTAATGAGATTAATATCTAATCTATAATTAAATCTAATTCTATAACATATTAAATTTTGGTTGCGTATTAAAAAGAGGTGTGATTTTAAGGATATCTGTAAATAAATTCCAAATAAAATACTTACATCCATTTCTTCCAACACTTCCTGCAGTTCTTTGCTTTCTGCAGCAGTTAAAGCAGCCCCCAAATCACTTAAATATACAGGATTATCTACAACTCTTTGGCCTTGATGCATCATTTGCTGCAAGCTATCTCTATACAAAGGATTTAAACTTATAATATCTCTAATGGTTTTGATAACTTCCTGAGTGAGCGCTTTCACTTCTTCTGTTTGACGGAATTTGTTGTGCACTACATTTTCTACTTCTGCCATCAATAAGCCTTCAATTATAGGTTTAGCACTGGGACTGGCAGCTTTTTGGTCTTTATTTTCAACTGTTTTGGTAGATTCTATTGGGGTTTTTACTACTCTATTATTTCGCAATTTCCTTCTGGGTTTTTCACTTTCAGTATCCTCTAAAACAGGTATAGTACTTACCTAAACTGTTAATATTGCTATAACAGTACATTAAATGTGCAATGAATGCAAAACTTGCTAAATTATACCTTTATATATTTACCTTTTTGCTCTTCATTTTCAAAAATCTGGCCAGTTATCTTAATTCGCCTGTGTGCCATCACAACCAGTCTTAAACGATCTCCTAAATCCTGCATTTCGTGAATTTGAGCAAAAACTCCTATGTCATAAACATCACTAATATTACTGACTACCTCTGAATCATTGTCTTCTCGTTTTTTAAGGAAAATACCACAATATGGTTGGTTTAACTTAACTTTTCGTCTTAAAAGTTTAATAAGTTGTGGATTTGTTAGTTCAATTAGCTTGATAAACCTTGGAAATACTAAAATAAAACCAAAAGGAAAAATGTGCATTAAACTTTCACTTTTTCTTTCTAGTATAGATGTTACCTATATTTTTGCTAATAGCAATAACAGGAACATGCGGCCAAACTTCTGGAACTGCTACAGTTGCTGGAAGTTGGGGATTGAAGTTTTCTTCGGCAGCTGGGACTCCATCCTCAGGCCCATCAGGCGTTTTTGTTGCAAAGTGTCTAAAAGCTACTGTTTCTCTAGGAATTAACAATTTTCGTTCAAATAAACTAGATTTCACGGTCCCTTTCCGAAATCCTATTCCTAATCTACCTGAGGAATTATTGTAAGAGGTTATAGGACTATTTTGTGAAAGTTTGTAACTATATCTACGTACAGTACATCCTCTTATATTAAGTGTTTGGGCAATTCTTGTCAATTTGACAAAATTCATTGCGCTACCTTAAATTCTCAACTGAAAAATTATCTTATGAAATTACATGCAATTATTTTAAAATTTGAACTACTTCTAGAAATCGACATGTCAAAAATTGAACTGCCAAACCAGGACTGCCAACAATATCGCACTAAAACAGAAATGAAAAGACCTTCAATTTTTAAATATTTTAATGATGTTGAACAAATATTTGCTAATTAAACAACAATAAATATAGAAACAAATAAGAAAATAGTGCAAATTTCATAAAAAAGTATCTTCGATGGACAGTTGTATTTCCTGTATAAATTACTCTGCTTAATATGATATATCATTGTAATATATGACCTAAAGATAACCCTAATATCAAAGGTTTGTAAAAATAAATTTATTTTTTAATATTTATTTTAACTATCGATGTTTTAATTTATGTAATTTACGTAAACGTTGTCTTGCAATTCTGTAAAGTTGGTTGAATAACTTACAGGCACAAAATTAACTGACATATCTGTCATGTATTGTAAACATAACATTTAGGTTTTTAAAAAAATTGTAAATTAGTAATAGATAATAAAATCAGTATAAATGTACAATAATCAGTTTGATTAAACAGTTTTGTAATTAGAGTAGTGATAGTGATAATGTCAGCTGTAAACCAGGAGGTGTATAAAAAGTTTAAAAATGCTAGAAAATTATTAAGTACTGATAGTACTGATTCTACTGTTCAGGTAAGTGTTGAATATACCGTTGATCTTTTTTTGGAACCTTTATTCTCATAATCTTACATTGCTATAGGCCAAACCACCTATTATATACTAGTGCCGCCGATTTTTAGTCCCATTCATAGAGTTTTCTTTAGGTCGATGTTAGAGAAGATGAAGAACAACTTATTAAACTGCAAGAAATTATTGATATTCTGGTAGCGGCTGGATACTTTAGGGCCAGAATCAAAGGCCTTTCTGCATTCGATAAAGTTGTCGGTGGGATGGTATGGTGTATAGAATCCTGCAACGTTGAATTAGACGTTGATCTGCTGTTTAGAGAAAATTTAAGCATTGGTCAAAAAATGTAAGTACTTAGATATCTTTCATCTATTGATAGACCTTTCACTATCACATATTTGGTTGAACGCAGCACTCAGGTTATTCTCTTTATCATTGCATTCATTTCTTGATCTCAAATTTTACATGTTATATACTTCAAAATTATCCCCAATCCTCAACATATCATTTGCACAAACTGTTGCAAGGATATTAATGTCAAATATTTAATAAATCAAATAAATTTTGTTGTTTTAGAGCTTTAACAGAAAAGATTGTTGCTGTTTTACCAAAAATTAAATGTCCCAGGAACATAGAACCACATCAAATCCAAGGCTTGGATTTTATTCACATATTTCCTGTAATACAGTGGTTAGTGAAGAGATCTTTGGAATGTCGTGAAGAAGTTGCTGCATTTGTAAGAGCTTGTGCAATCGAGCAGTTTAATAAAAAGTTTCACAGTGCAGATGAGAATCGCGAAAACGCGAATTTACTTAAAAATATGAAGTTACTGTCTGAGGTTTATAGACCTCGGCGATATTATAAGAAGAAAAATTCGGCCCCAACTTCAACTTTATCGCAAATACAGTCAACTCTGCTGGAATATGGACATAGTGATGGTGGAGTTGGAGACTATTCAATGTTTACTGCGAAAGATAAAGAAGGAACTGATGATCAGGTAGATAGATATTTTTTAATACTGGTCAGATTCTTCATACTTGCTTATCTATTTTTATTAGGAATTTGTAGACTTGGATGATGAACACAAGGAGCAGCTTATCAAACATTATACATCTCTGCAGTTTGAATTAACATCGGTAAGTATGACATAAGTAATATTGATAAAAAAAAATAAAGTATTTAAAAATTACTAAAAATATTCATTTTTTTTTCTACTTACAAACTGAAAGAGCCCTCCGAATCGCCCTTCAGTCGATCAGCTGACCGAACTGAACCCTGGAGGACGAAACGCTATACCTAAAACCTTTTACATCAAGGAAATCTCTTTTTTCCGTATCTTTTTTTCTGAAGGCGAGGCTTATGTAGGAGGAGCTTTTTGGGTGTGGCTCCAAATTCTTGAAGGTGACAATGGATTTCATGCTTACTATATAGTTTTGAATCTATTTTAATAGAAATGTCATATTTGGATCATTCAATTCTCAGTTTGTGATTGTTTTTCACCAAATTTGGAAATTTCAGTTAACTACGTTTACTGGGGCCATGATAAGTGGCTCCCTTAATCTGTGCTGTCACTGAAGCACTTCCGTATGTACCACAGATACAATATCTCACTCTGGCAGTGATACATTCAGTGAGCTATACTGTTCATATTCTCAGATTAATTGTTTTAGGGCGCAGGCATCCAGTCTAGAGATCAGTTGTTGATTGCTTCTCTAGAAGAGAAAAAACAATTGTTTAACGAAAAATGCAAAGAATTTAAGATAAACAAAGCATCTTTAGACAGTGATATCAAAAGTAAAACCAAAGTTCTTCAAGAACTAGAAAGTAAACAAAAAGAAGCTGAAGTTGCTTTAAAAGAACTCAATCAAGAAGAATTAGAGAGTTCCAAGTAAGTAAATAGTCATTAATAAGTATAAAGAAGCTCAATACATACAGCAAATTGTTGATTTTTTGCTATAAGTAATTGTTTGTTTTAGAGTGAAAGAAATAGAAGAGCTCATTATGCTGAACGACGATTTGAAAGTACAAGAGACTCAATTTAAGGAGCAGTGCAAAAAAGAACTGGCAAATTTGAACAATCAAATACAGTAAGTCACTTTTTCACATTTCAAACACACATTTGTCTTTTTTGGCTTGTAGAAACGTCAAAAATGCCAAAGTAAACATTCCAGTAGAAAACCCTTCAGTGGTAATATCTGAATTGAACGAATTGTCCGAGAAAAATGCTTCGACGAGAATGAAATTAGCTAAAGTGAACAGAGATGTCGCTATATTGCATCGCCAAATCGATGATATTCCCAAGAGAGCCGAATTGGCACAGTATCAAAAGAGATTTGTGGAATTGTACAATCAAGGTAGGTTTTTTATATAAGATAACTTTTAAGTGTATGTTTTCTTCTGTAAAATTAGAAAATCAAAAATAATTTGATATTTGCAATGTTGCCAGATTTGCCGTTTCTCTGATATTATTAGTAACTTTGGTTTTTCAAATGCATCACCCTGTATATTCAGTCATTATTAGAATCTTCTATTCAATACGAGTTCAACTATATGTACTACTTATGATTTTATATAGTCTAGAAGGTCTTAAATACATAAAACAGAAGTCTGCCAACCCCTAATTGTTTCAATAAATTTTTTGATACTAATTATTTTCAACTACATTAAAACGTAACAATTGATAGATTAGACCATTTTTTAACAATAGTTACGTTATTAAGTGTTCAAAATGTGCTCAATTTGTGAGTTGACCGTACCCTAATCGATGGTAGAATGCGTCTACCACATTTCTCCATGATTGTCTAGAAATTATTTGAGATTAATCGATAATTCGTTGCCTTTGCTCTGCAAGACTTGGCTGGTTAAGTTTTGTTAACTGAATTTTTCAAGTATCCCTAATAAAAATAATCTTTAGGATTGAAATCGGGTGAACGTGGAGGCATTCAATTCTACCTTGTCTCCCAATTTATCGTACGGAAAATATCTCATCTAAATAACGCCGAACATTTACACCAACTATCTGACGTTAAATTTCCTTCGATAAAAAATGACCCAATTGACTAAGTACCTACTATACCTGATCATACATTTAATTTTTGTGGTCTGGTATGGTTTTCACGCATTCAGTGTGAATTTCATACGAGTTCAACTATTCAATACGAGTTCAAAAATATGTAACACTTATGATTGTGTGTAGTCTGGAAGGTCTTAAATACATAAAACAGTGCAAAATTGTAGATTTTAATAAATTTAAATAGTTAAATGTAGAATGCTGTGATATTGACATTTGTTCATGATTTACATTATAAACTAAAACTGACAGTAGTTGTGTTTCGAAAAGTTCTGCAATTTAAATTGCTTCTCTAAAATGCCATTCTCTAGACCGTTCTCCTATTCATAAGGCGACGGTACACAAAACTGTAAAGCAATTTGAGAAATCTGAAGAAGGTAAAGATAGATGGAAAGAGAAAAGTTTTGTTGAAAATCCACATACATCCTCAGGCAGGGTTGCACAAGTACATGATGTAGGTCGTTCTTCAGTCTTACATATATTACGTAAAAATAAGTTTAAACCATTCGATCTTAGATTAGAGTTTACTGAGGTAATGATGGATAAAATTGAAAATTATTAAAATTCCGTTAACAGAATATGTTTTCAGATGAAGCAATCTTTACACTGTGTGGAAGTGTAAATCGGCACAATTTAAGGTACTGAAGTGACGCAAATTCACACTGAATGCGTGAAAACCATACTCAAAAACCACAAAAATTAAATGTATCGTCAGGTATAGTAGGTACTCAGTCAATTGGGCCATTTTTTATCGAAAGAAATTTAACGTCAGATAGTTGGTGTAAATGTTCGGCGTTATTTAGATGAGATATTTCCCGGACGCGAGATTACGAATCCTAGTGCAACTGTGAATATACTTATTTTGATCAGTTGTAATTGGTTGAGAAAGTAGCGGGATATTTAAAAAATTATTATAAGTTCTTGTAAACGCATTAACGACTACTTACAGAGATGTTTTTTGTTCTTTTTGAGTAGTTTAGACACTAATGTAATATGTTATCATTTTATAAACATTAATAATAATTTTTGTAAGTGGACATTGAAAAATAGAAATAAAAAATTTACTTTTAAATAACATTACGTTAATAACAAATGCATACCATTTAATGAAAAACAAAATTTTGAGCTTTAAATAAGAATCCTACAAAATATTGTATAATATGTTCAAAAAAATTGATTATCTCCATCTATTACACTTTTTATTGTATTATTAATAGGAAAACTGTATAGCTAAATCTGGAAAAAAACAAATCGCGTTGAAATCTTTTAAACAAATCTGTCAAGGTTATAATCAATTCTTATATTTAATTAATAGTTACTTTAATGTATTGCCACAGCACTTATGTAACCAGTTCTTATTTAACATATATTTTTAAAAATCTCTTAGCGAAATAGCTCTTATGAGTTCCTATTAAATATAACATCTCAGATAGTAGAATCTTTTGAGTAAGTACACTATTGTACTATTATTTTTAGTATACATAGTAAATAAGTGTATTAATATTGTTCGGAGAAGCTAATTGTTTGTGGCATTTATATAATTTATTATTTTAATGAGAAATAATGCCACAATTTAACTACAAAAATAAATTTATTGACGTATTATTAATTAATATTGTCATTTTGAAAACGACATCCGATGTGGATGTTGAAACGAAAATAAATTCATTTTTTCGTTAAATTGTGGCTTTATTTCCCATTAAAATAATAAAATAAGTGTATTCCTCTTATTCTCTGGAAAATATAAGGGTTGATAGTTTTATTTTAAATATAAACAATAAAACATATCAATTAATATCTATTTATTTATTTATCAACATATAATATATAAACAATTTAATGATTTTTACCTAAACTTATATTGTGATCTACCACAGCCACCTTTACTTCCAAGCCATGAAGTAAAAAAGGCAACACCGCATTCTATGACGTCGGTAGTCCGATAATCAGCTGTAAGGTCTACCAGAATATTAAACTAATTTGAATTTTAGGAAACTGATATTTTGAAAACTTCAATTCATTACAGAAATATTTTTAGGGAAATTAAATTAATAAAACCTTATATATACCTAGTAAATATATATAAAGTTTTATTATTATTTAGGTTATATTATCAATAAATAAAATAATCACTATTCTTTGTTTCACGTTAAGAAAATAACATTACGCTTATGGAGATCAGTGTTGCCAAAACTCTCAAACACTCTCTTTTGCACGGATGTCCAAGATATTCCCTTTGCTTAATTTTTGAATTTTCATTTTCAATTAATATTTAACTGTAAAGTCAGAATAACTACTAAATAAAAGTCTTATTAGCATTATGTAGTCAGAGACGACATAAAATAGCTGACATACGCATATCGTATTATTTTAAGTTGCAATTAGTAATTAGATATACGCATTCCAAGCGGTCAATATTTTCTACTGATTTATATGATTCATGGCATATCGTATTCTCACCGAAAAACAAATAAACTGTCGTTACTATAATTAAAATAAGATAAAATAAAATTATCTTTTGTAAATACTATTTATCTAATTAAAATCATTTTCCCTACTTTTCATCTCTTGTTTCGAATGGGCACTTTTGGTCAATTACGTTAAAAAACATTAATTTAATTCATGTTTGTGGAAACGAAAATACAAATTATACAAACCAAAATTGTGCTTGTGTGTGTCGTGGCAACGCCGTGTTGCTATCGTCCATAAGAAATACATGGCCCTATCTTCGCAATGTTATTTTCTAAACGTGAAACGTAGTATAGAGTAAAATTTATTGCACTTAAAATACAGTGTTAAACAGTTAATCTTACAATCAAATGCAGTCAAGAATCTCTAGAAATTTTAAATATTAAGTACTTAAGCATATAAATAACACAATACATTAACACGACATTTAAAAAGATTATTAAAAATACAAAAGATATAAAATTTGTGCTAAGTAAAAACTTAGTGTAACTATTATGATTAAAAAATTCATCCTAAGAAATCAGACACAATATAAATATGGTTCTAAATTAATCTAATTGAAAATTAAATATTTTACTATTTACTTATAACTTTTGTTGAATTTTCATACTTAGATATACAAAAGTAGCAATTTTAAATATGATTAGGTTTGTTGTCATATAGACCAAGTTAAAAGAGGTATACATGAAAAATGTGTTGAATGTAACATATCATTTATAACTTGTATATCGATTTAAAATAGCCTATATTCTCAAAAGATTTTTGAAAGTAATACTCAAATTTGTTATCACTTATCTAAAAAGCAGATCTAAATGAGAAAGTAAGTTCTCTAATTGTGACCATCTTGTTAATTTACTATATTGTAAAATCCATTTCAAATCATTACCACTTAATCTATTCTTACCTACATTGACGATTACACTAAAATTACTGCTAACTATTACACTACATATTACACAAATATTATCACACTTGTGTCCCAACTGATTAATGTTTAATACATAGAAATATACACAGTCACTTGTAATTTTACTTGTCCAGTTTTTCAATGGGATATTATTGTCTAAGTCTAATTGACATAATTATGTTATCTCTTGTTCCCTCTTCTTATGCAAAAAGTTTCTTCTGTCTTCGGGATTCCTTCTTTCTTTAGTACGATGAACAGTTACATATGATGGTACTTCAGGAAATTAGGAACTGCATTGCCTTTTAATTTGGGAAATATTAACTTTTCAATGTGTACATTTCCATCTTTATCTTCTCATTGTTCAGTCCGCTGAATATCATCTTCATGAAAATGTTTGGCACATACTACGGAAGATTTGGTAATTGTACAGCCTTCTCTATGAATAGAGCATAACCCAGTATACCTTCTTTGGGGATCTTTGGGAAACAAAAACATACTTTTTGCCTGTTTCGTTTTTAAAGTACTGGCATAATTGGTTTTGCAACCAGGTACACAACAATACCAGAGCATCTGTAACAAAAAACAAAAGTATTATTATTGTTGTTTTTAGTCTACATATTTTGTAACAAGAAGCAAAAGTATTATTATTTTCAGTTTGTTTTGTAGGTTATATTTATACTTGCCTTTTAAATTGTCGTTAAGAATGTTCTAAAAGTTCTAAATTTAATGAAATTTCACTTATATTAATATTTTCTAATTGATTTAAACACAATTTACAAATAAAACATTCGAACAAAGTTAAAAAAACAATAAATTCAACAAACTTTACAAGCCTTCCTATATGAAATGTTAAACCAAAACAAACCACAGTCGGACTACCACGCGTTGTTGCCAAATTTCTACTTCAT